CTCCACCATCACAGACATCTCTCCTGTCATCTCAGTGGTCCTCTCCCAGGGTCATTTTGCCCTCCCTCCGGGGGAACATTTAGCAATGTCTTGATACATATCTGAATGTGAACATTTGGGGAGTGCTACTGGCAAGAGATCAGGGATGCCGTTCAGCATCTAGTGAGCAGAGAGCAGCCCCCACACCACAGAATGATCCAACCCCAATGGCCATCGTGCCACAGTGCAGAATCCCTGCAACATCCAGACGTGGATAGTACCTTGTATTTCCAGGAGGGGAATGAGATGAGAAAGGCTTGAGGAAGACCATTTGCTATGTCACATGACCTTCTGTGTTTACAGCAGAGCACACACTTGCAAACCAGTCAGCTGGAATTAACTCTGCAATTCTTAACTGTGGACAGAATATTCTGAAGCATGAATCCACTGAACTGCTTGCCAACATTCATGTGCAGCTTCCAGCAATTTAAGATTCACAGAAATAATTTGCAGTTTGTGGATCAACCTTAGTAAAAAGACAACTGCTAACAAGAAATAATAAAGAACAGGTTCCAGAATATCTGAAATCTTCTCTAGTTTCTGCATGACATCATTTTAACATTTTAACATTTGCCAAGAAAGAAGGTTCCACATTTATTTTACTGGATAGAGAAACAGTTATTCTCACAGTCCATAAGGCATATAATCTTACACTGGAATGCCAATGACATCACAGCTACAAATGCTTAACACGTGATTTTTATAAAACCAGCAAGCCTTTTCTCCTCTCTTTAATGAAATAGTGTACTCACAGGCTTATTTCTGGATTTTGTAAGTGCAAGTACAGAGGCTGCAGGATGGCTTGGGTCTTGGAATCTGGAAGGTTCTCCACAGCAATTTGCATGGAGACACAGGACGAATGATCCTCAGGCTGTTAATCACCAGCATCTTTACCCTGAAACCTCGATCAGTTCTCAAACAACTTGCAGGAATCCAATAACCTAGAGGGAAGAGGGTAGGGAAGCAAAAGCTATAAACAATAGAGACTTAAGATCATGGGAAAACTTCTAAGTAGGACAATATTCAGACCAGTAATACATACCCTTAGGTGGAGGGGAGGGCAAATGGGAGTCGATTATCCCTTTTGTTCCTCAAACTCATTGGTCACCCAAGATGACAAACCCATTTGCTTTCCCTGACATTCACTTGGTGCTCCTGCCCACCCACCAGCCATATGGACTTCAGTTCTTCCAATTCCTGTCTTTCCCTCCGGCCTGTGCAGATGTTCTTCCTTTCCTGAACTCTTCCTCCATTGGTGCCTGGTGAATCCCTACCCCCACTTCAGGTGACTGACACCACCGTCACTTCCTCAAAGCTTCCCTGACCACGTGCTTACCAGGTCAGCCCAGAACCTGCCTCGTGGTCACAGTGTTTATGGAAGTTGAATTAATATCTGACCAGGAATGTACTTTAAGAATGCATCCTCTCCAGTATCTAAGCCCCAAAGTGGTAGGGACCATGTCTGCCTTGATCAGAGCTGCATCTCTTAGGGACACAGTGCCTCATTCAAAATAGGTGCTGGGAGTACTAGCCGAGTAACCTGAGCAGGCTCCCTTGGTGACAAAGATGTTGGTCCTAACTTCAAGAACCAAGAACTGTGCCATGCTGCCAGCACACTCTGAGACAGTACTAGGGGTCTTTCCTTTACTCAAACGCCGCCATCACCCATTTGTAGGGGTGTCTATACTTTTAAAACACTTTTAAATATTTCTCCTTTGAGAGGGGGGTCTCATATCCCTATCTAAAAGATCCAAAGGACCCCCCAAATACTGCCTGATCTAAAAGAGGACCCTCCCTGAATATGAACCTCATCTAGTCTCACAGGGCTGGGATTCTGCCAGTTAGCACTTTCATTTCAAACTATATTGTCATTTCTTTTGCTCCAAGCACAGTGGTGGTGCTATGATGCAAAGATGACCAAGGCTTCGAACTCTATCTTCCAGGTACCTAATTTCTCCCTTAGGAGCCTCTTGAAATGCACATACTATGGGTAAGAAAAACACAGAGCAAATCAGTTTACAGCAGGGTGTTTTTGCCACCTCAGATTCTGCCTTCTCTTGCCAAAAGAAGGGCTCTCAGCAGTATGGCCATGCTGGAGTGGTGGTGGGGGTTGGGGTAGGTGGGAACAGGTGTCAAAAGGCACAAACATAGGAGTTGAGGGGCACTAAAGTCACATTTCTCTTACAAATCTGAACTTTATTGCTTCATACCATCTTTCCAGAAGAGTGTAAGAAATGAAACCCACGTCACGGTTCCCAGTGATGCTGAGCAAGGAGGCAAATATTGTGCTTTCATCCTCCCCTCTTTGTGTACATTCCTGCTAGTAATTGGCTGTGAATTAGCTCTTCTCCTCTGTACTGCTGTCCTTGACCTTCCTCCATCTGAGCTAGAGAGAAGGCTACACCTATGTGAAAGATGGGAGAATCATCTCTGTGTGCACTGTGAAATGAAGCACAGCAGGGTGAGAAGCGAGTCTTTCGGCACAGTACCAGGAGCTTTGCTTTGCATATGTGTCACCTTGCTAATGTGCGCTGAACTCAGGGAGCCAGAGATGTGCAGCCATTACATTAAAGGGGACTGGTTGGAAGTCAGTGAATCCCATGGAGGTTCCTTATCTCTAGGCCTAACTCCCTACCTGAGGTCTTTAGGCCAATGTATTAGCCTGTAATAAGGTACCATAGACTGGGTGGCTTAAATATTTTTGTTGTCTTGGCTGGGTGCAGTGGCTCACACCTGTAATCCTAGCATTTTGGGAGGACGCGGTGGGCAGATCATGAGGCCAGGAGTTCAAGACTAGCCTGGCCAACATAGTGAAACCCAGCCTCTACTAAAAATACAAAAATTAGCCAGGCATGGTGGCGAGTGCTTGTGGTCCCAGCTACTCAGGAGGCTGAGGCAAGAGAATTGCTTGAACCCGGGAGATGGAGGTTGCAGTGAGCTGAGATTGTGCCACTGCACTCCAGCTTGGGCAACAGTGAGACTTCATCTAAACACACACACACACACACACACACACACACACACACACACACACACAAAATTTGTTGTCTCATGGTTTTGAAGGCTAAAATCTAGAAATCTGAGGTCCAAGTTCTTTGCAGGGTTCCTTCCGAGGGCAGTGAAAGATCTGTTCCAGGCCTTTCTACTTGGATAATTTTATGTGCCAACTTGGCTAGGTCATAGTACCCAGATATTTGGTCAAATACCACTTTAAATGTCACTGTGAATGTATTTTTAAGATGAGATTAACATTTAAATCAGTAGACTTGGAATAAAGCTGATTACCCAGCTGGGCGCTGTGGCTCACGCCTGTAATCCTAGCACTTTGGGCGGTCGAGGTGGGTGGATCACCTGAGGTCAGGAGTTCAAGACCAGCCTGGCCATCATGGTGAAACCCCACCTTTAAAAAAAAAAAAGCTGATTACCCTTCATGTGGGTGGGCTCTACCCAATCAGTCTTCAGTGAAAAAAGACAGGTCCCCTGAGGAAGAGGAAATTCTACCTCCAGACTGCCTTTGGACTGGAGCTGTGCCACGGCACCAGTTTGTGCTCACAATCCAGTCTGAACATGTCCCCAAAGTTCATGTGCTGGAAACTTAATCCGCAATGCGAGTGTCGAGAGGTGATTAAATCATGAGGGCTCTCCCCTCATTAATGGATTAATACCATTACTGGGGGGAGCAGATTAGTTTCTGAGGTAGTGGGTTCCTGATAAAAGGACAAATTTGGCCTCCTTCCCCTCCCTCCCTCCTTCTTCACCCCTAACCTCTCACATGCACATGCTCTTGCCCTTCTGCCTTGTGCTATGGGATGATGCAAGAGGGCCCTCACTAGATGCTGAGCAGATGCTGCACCTTGCCCTTAGACTTCCCAGCCTCCAGAATCATGAGCCACATAAATTTCTGTTCATTATAAATTATCCAGTGTCAGGTATTGTCATAGCACAAAACAGAGTAAGACAGGCTGTAATATCAATATTCCCTGGTTTCTAGCCTGATGGCCTGCACTGCAAATTTTAGATTTGCCAACCCCTACATTCACAAACCAATTTAAAAAAACAAATCTCTCTAAACACCCACATACAAACACACACACACACACACACACACACACACACACACACAATTGGTTTTCTTTCTCTAGAGAACACTTAATAAACTTTGCTTTTGGCAATTCCTTGGTTTTTGTCAGCATTAAGTCCAATTTTTATAAGCCTTTCTCATCTTGTCTGTGTCCAAATTTCCCCTTTAATTAAGGACACCAGCTATATTGGACTAGAGGCCACCCTAATGACTGTCATTACCTCAATAAAGACCCAATCTTCACGTGAGGTCACATTCTGAGGTATTGAGGCTTAAGACTTAAACGTATGAATTTGAAATGGGAGGGTACAATTCAACTCGTAACAGCAAGTGACACCTAAAGTATGTCTGCATTGCCTAAAAGGTGTCAACAATTCTCAAAGTAAAAATCACTTTTGTTTAGTGTTATCTGTGTTTGTGTAAATACAGTTTTTAGTGAGAGTGTGGATGCCAAAATGTCTAAGGAGATGAGAAATCACCTTGCTGAAGCCATGTAAAAGTCTGGCTCAGGATTTAAAAGACAGACTGACAATAAGCTTTAAATATCTTACCTTGATAGTACCTGGAGCCAGGTAAGAGCATCTAGTTTTTAAATAACTTCACTACCTGAATTCACTTAGCAGGTTTAAACAGCAACAGACCATGGGTCAACTGAATCTAGAATCTGTTTTCTCCTTATTACAGCAAACTTCAAACTTGTACCAAAAAAGGTGAGAATAAATCACCTATATATCCAATACTCTATTTCAACAATTACCAGTTTGTGGCTGGATAGGGCCTAGGAGAGCTAAGCCTTCTGTACTGTCACTGATTAGTCATGTATGCCTTGGATATTACTAACATATTCTTTTTCTGTTGTTTTGCAGCCTTAGAAATGTGTGAAAAAAGATTCTAAAAGTCTTTAAATGTCATTCATAAGCAATGTATTTATTAAATGCCTCATAGCTTGAACTCTGCCTGATTAAACGACTTACACAAAACAGACAGCAAAAGTACTAACAAAAGGTTACAATTATATTGAAAAATTCCTTGACTGGCATCAGACTCTTCATTTTCTCAACTCCTGATTTCAAAAGAAAGCCTGCCTTTTGCAATTTCCTGAAATTTAAATTAGAGATTACACTATGTCTGAAGAAAGCTTAGCTTCCTCCTGTCACTCACTTCTTCCTTGAGAGCATGATCCCAATCTGAGGTTGCCAAAGGTTTCAAAATATATTTCTTATACCTGATTTGTGTGTTGCAACTAACTGCCCCAGTGTGGCCAGTGATGTGATTAATTTCCCTCTTTCCACCAGATTTTCCTAATATTCATATGCACTCAGAAGGCACTCAACCTTTATTGTATTCCAACTGTGAGCCGTGGCAGCCTTTTTGCCTGGCTCCATGAACAGGGCAGCTACGTATAGGCACTGAGAATGGTGCCCTTGCTGTTTTGGCCTTTCGGTTAATTCCAGTCCAGGTACTGATTTAAAATAACCCAGAAAGTTTTTCATTTCCAAAATATTCAAGAATAGTGCAGTTTTTCACTAAGTCCCTGAAGACAGGGGAGACAGAATGAACTTTGGTTCACTGGGGACTCTAATGCAGGCTGTGAACAGCGACTCCTCTGCGAGATGTGCAGGGGCAACTTTTCTCACCAGAGATTTCTGACTATTCTCCATACTTCAGCAAGACTTTTAAAGTGCAAAGTGGAAATGGTCAGATTATCAGTAAAGGAAGGAGGGGAAGCAGAAAGCAATGTGGTATTCAGTGGCTAATGTCAGGCCTCCATGTGCAAGCCCGTACCCAGAAAGTCTAAAGTCCTGCCTGCCTGCATTCGCCATTATCCCTGATCGCCCTGCAGAGCTTCCCCATATATAAGCTTCCCCTCACCCCACCCTGCCATCTTAACTGTTATTATGATAATGTGAATACTCCTCACCCAACCCTGCCATCTTAACCACTATTACACCTTACCCCATCCGCCACTGTAACTGAACTTAAGGTAATGTATACTCCCTGCCCCTACCCCCACCATTGTAACTGATTTTACTCTGTAACTTTCCACTGCCCATCCCAAACCTATAAAGCCAGCTCCTATCCCACTGCCCTTTGCTTAAGCCCTTTTCCGCCTTAGCCCACCTGCACCCAGGCGAATAAACAGCCATGTTGCTCACAACACAAAGCCTGTTTGGAGGGTCTCATCATTCAAAGCGCGCGTTTTTAACAGCTAACACAGAGCATATAAACAAACTGAGGTGTATGCAACTTCATTAACTCCTTTCCCAAGGATTTCCAGCAAAAGTAAATGTGAAGGAAGTACACTGATATTAATACTAACGCGTTTCCAGCAGCCTCAGAACAGTAGCATTTAACGTTGAATATCACACAGAATCCCAGCCACCAAAACTGTCTGTATTTTGGAGGTTCCTCTCCTCCAGCTCTGGGGCAGGGCACATTAGAAAAACTCAGATTTGTCCACGGGACGCAATTGTGCTTCTGATCTACTCTGGGGGTGGCTGTGTATGTCTATAGTCCCTGGCATAGTCAGGTGGGAACATCAACCTTGTAGACCAGAGGGAGTCCCATCTTCCTGCTCCTAGGTTTCTGGAAATGCACTCCTCTCATCCCGCAAAGTCTCTGGGAAAGCTGTTCTGCCTTTTAATAGACAGAATCCTAAAAGGGTGTCTGGTGACCCCCTTTGCGGAGAAAGAGAGCTAGAGTGGGGAAGTGGCTATTCCCCCGCGGCCACCCTCGCACTCCCATTCCTCACAGAAGCCCCGTCGGGACCCAGGCCAGCCTCGCGGAACAAAAAACTTTTCTGGCTCCAGGGCCCATAGCGGCACCCAATCATGTTTGCGGCAAGGGGGGCAGTTCCTGCCCTTTCAGGCATACCACGCCCCGCTGCTGACCACGCTCCTCATTGTCTCCCGCCCTTACCAGAACGATTTGCCTGAGCCACAACCACTTCGTTCGCTCCTGGGACCCAAGGCTCCTGCACGCGGCCATCTTGGCCACGCCCCCTCACGTTTAGCCACGTCCTCCACGCAGCAAACGTCATTTCGTCATTCCAGGCTACGCCCCTTTCAGTTCCGCTTCCGTCCCCGACCCAGGCTCAAATCTCGCTCTGGCCACGTTTCCCCAGCGCCGGAGCCCAGACCTACTCTCCGCTCTGGCTACACATCTCCTGTCTGCCACGCACCTGCATGGTAACTTGCCCACTCCTCTGCCCTACCATCTTTGTTACGCCCCTCAGAGCAACAAGGCACGTCTCTGCGTTCTGCCTACGTCATGTCCTTACTTTCCTTTTAGCGCTACGTCCACTCCCGGTCACTATTCCGCGGCCCGCCTCTCCAACTGTGGCCACTTTTGCACGCTTCGCCCAGTCCACGCCTCTGAGTGTAGTTCGTTTCACATACCAGTGATCGCCTACCCCCATCTCCCTCCCTTGGGCCCACGTCCCTACTCTCCTCCGCCTGAGGCCGCCCCTCCCGCGGATTCGACCATCTTTTTTACACCCTTCCGACTACGTTACGCCCTTGACGTCAGGGCTAAGGTCCATTCGTTCAGGTCACGCCCCGGCGGTACGCCTGGGCCAGGCCACTTCCGCTAAGCTTTGCAGCCTGCACTCCTCACTGGCGGGGCCGTTCCCCCTTTGGTTAAGCTTTTCCTTTTTCTCGGAATAGGCCAGACCTCTCTTGTCCGCGTCACTTCCCTTCCTGCATTCCACACCACTCTGGCCAGTCGTGGCCGTCCTCCCAGGCCACAGGCCACGACCCTACGGTCCTCATTGGCCACGCTCACCTGGCGTATGCGCGTTTACCTTACTCTCTGGCCACGCCTTAGGTTCCCAGGCCACCCACTTTTGGTTCCACTTTCTTGGTCAAGCCTCTCGGGCCAGTTCTACGCCCTCTACGCTCCTTTTAGGTGCGAGACTTGATTCCGGGAAACCGCGGAGGAATTGGAGGGGCCTACCGGTCTCCGGAGAGAACTGTCCAGGTGCTGGAACCAGATGTCTGCGGCATTTATAGTGAAATGAGCCTGCGGATCTCTGATCCTTTCCTAAAAAGTGACTTTCTTTATGTATCTCCCAACTCTAAACACCAGAACTCGTTAAGCAAAAAACCGAGTAGGAAACAATTGGTGGGCCAGTGGTGGAGCACCCTTGCTAGGGTGTTCCTTCTAGCTAGATTTCATGTCCTTTAGCCCCACTTGGAGATAAACTGGAACCGTGTTCCTTCCAGCCCTTCAGCGGACTATAAATGCTAGGGCGATGCTTGGAGTAAGCACACGCCTCTACTTCCTGATGTGTCCTCTGATGACTTTTCCTAGGTACCTGGTGCCCTAATGCTCTCTAGGTCCTGTCGAGACACCACCACATTCAGACCTCTGTTTGCAGTCCTGTGCTCCAAGATTGCTCTTTTTTACTCCCTCCATTCGCAATTCGGGGTTTACAGGAAAAAAAGTGAGGAGGTTATCACCAGCTTTTCTTTTCTGTCCAGAAATTTCTGAATGGACACTCTTGGAGAATGGACACTTTCCATTAGCCATTCATTCATTCATAACAGATTTATCAAGTACTATGTTCCATTAAGAAATAAGACAAGACTCAAAGACATTACAGACTGAGGTTCCCCAACTCAGGTTTGGATGGCACAAGAATTGAGAAAGTTAAAGGTGGTGTAATAAAGGAGTTGATAGGTTTAATAGGACTTGGTAAGTGCTGGTTTGTTGTTCTAATTAGCAAGAGAATTTGGGGGCAGCAAGCATAGGCAGCCACTTTCATAGTACTTACTACAACTCCCTTCACAATAAATTCTCAAACTTCTTTTAAAGTATTCCCTTTTCACTTGTTTGGAGGACTACAGTTTTTCCCTCCAAGGCAGTAAGATTTAATATATATACTTCTACATATGCCAACAATCAAGATTTTATGATCACACATAAAGTGTAAAAGTTCCCTTCTCTTCCCACCTTCCATCCATTTCCACTTTGAAGACAGTGGGAACTTTCACAATATTGAGCTAGATGGAGCACAGAGTAAAAGATAATTTTCAACAAAACATTTTTTATTAAGCTCACCTTGGCTCTTAAAACCCTTATCTCATTTATATAAAATGTTTCCAATGCCAATCATTTTTTGCATGAAAAATTAAACACAGGAAATGGGACCAAGTACAACCTGTGTAACTTACTGCATTGATTTTTATAGCATTATTTATACTTCACCTTTTTTCCCAGATGATTTGAGGCAGCACACCAAAACATAGGCAACACTGTATAAAAGAAATATAGTTTAAGGAACCAGAAGGGAAATACATGGAGGGAGACTAATAATTTAGCCAATGGTAAGATTAACACTCAAGTATGCACACCTTCAGATCCAGAACAGTTGTTGAAGGTTCGAAAGAGATCTTACTCTAAGTTTCTGTAGAAAACAGGAGATAACAAGTATTTTAAGGTTTTACAGTGTTCATAAAAACCAATCAGGATTTTGTTTGTTTTTGAGAAGCACTTTTTTTTTTTTAAATACTTTTAGCACCAAGGCAAATCCCAATTCCTCATCATGATGATGGTGTGAGCTACGTGGGGTGGGGAGTTGGGGAGAGATAGCATGGTGAGAAATGCCAGATATAGGTGAAGGGGAGGAAGGCAGCAAATCACACTGCCATGTGTGTACCTAGGCAACACTCTTGCATGTTCTTTACATGTACCCCAAAACCTAAAATGCAATTTAAAAAAATTTTGTCAGAAATTAAAAAAAAATAAGTGTCATAAGTTGTTTCACCCACATTCCCTCAATGGAAACTGTTGGCATAATCACAAAGTACAGGGCACTGAATTTCATGAATCATCCAAAATTTCCTATTCAACTGAGTACCCAGCCCCGCAATGGTCTAGTTTAATTCAGGGTAGCATTTAGATAATCTTTTCCCATAGTGGCACATAAGTTTCAACTCACATGTCAACTCCAATTTATTCATATTAGCTGACTGAATAGCTAATTTGGGAAGTTTTGTGGCTGAGTCCATGCACAGAAGGAAAAAGTTCTGTAATAGATAAAAAAATATTTGTCATAGGTGTGGGATGAGCAAATGGCTGCAAACAACAACCTGTCATCTTTGATTTGTAGTAATAGGGATCTCTTGTGCAGTCCACAAAAACATTTCTCCTAAGACTTTTGATAAATTTCAGGCAGTAGAGGGTTTAAGGTCATCATTGGCCAAAACGTAGGAGCAGAAATTCTGAGATATTGATTAATTCATACGTCTTTAGTATTGATGAGAGCATATAACCTAAAAGTTATGTGGTCTGATCCCATCCTCCCAACCTTTATAGAGGTTGGCAAAAGAAGTACCTATTGTCAGGGCTAAATGTGACTGGGTGACCTACAACTGGCAGACAAATCGATGATTAAGGATGGAAAATACTATTTCATAGAGCATGGCTGCAATACTTTTAGCATAGTAAAAGAGAAAATTGATGTGCCAAATAATGAGAAAACTCTTACACCTGAGCAACAGTGGAACCAGCTAAACCTCTGAAAGAAATGTCTTGCTTTTACTACATGAGACCCATTATAAAATATTTATCTCCATGCACAAGGTGTGACACACAGACACACATACATCCCATTTAAGAAACTGTCCTTTAAATTCCTACGTTAGGAGATTAAGTTGGCAGAATTATACGCACTCCGTTGGTCTGAATTAATTTTTATTTCCCAGCAGTAGTGATTAACTTTTTCCGAAGTAGAAAAATGTTAACTTGTGAAGAATAAGACAAAGTTCATAATGATTATGGCTACTGATTAACCTACAAAATTTGATGATGAGAAATAATTTCCTGGTTTTTGTAGCCATGGGCACATAGTGGGCTGCCAGTCCAACAACCTATGATTAGTAAATAAAGGGAAACTCACCGTCAGGGAATGTCCTTCCCATCTCCCATTGTCCTTCTCCATGTCATTTACAAAGAAGCTATTCCCATATTGAAATTTTCAAATATCCTTGCTTAATATGATTTCTCATCTTAAAAAGGGGAGATGGTATAGGATGGAGACAAAAATATTCCACATTACAGAGTTCCTTGCATACCAAGGGTACTGGAAATGTGTGTGTGTGTGTGTGTGTGTGTGTGTGTGTGTACATAAAATTAAGCATTGTAACATCATCCGTTCTATATTCCAAAATTATTATTAAAATAAGCTCATTTATCTTTTTATTAAGATGGCTAATGAGAAATAATTTCCTGGTTTTTGTAGCCATGGGCACATAGTGGGCTGCCAGTCCAACAACCTATGATTAGTAAATAAAGGGAAACTCACCGTCAGGGAATGTCCTTCCCATCTCCCATTGTCCTTCTCCATGTCATTTACAAAGAAGCTATTCCCATATTGAAATTTTCATTAGCCTCTCAGGGCCATTGTCAGAGAATCCAAAGTTTCTCTCCTCTAAGATGGGAACCCAACTTGGCTTCTCAGATGCATGTACACTGATGCTCCCTCCCCATCTTCCTCTGAGCCACTCTCACCAGCAAGTCCCTGCTGTTGTCCATGTCCTGTGTCTGTCCTTTGTGTTTGTTTACAGACTTCCTTAACTTGGATCCTGTGGACTTTCATGTTTTACCTTTAAACATCTTGCCATAGTTCCAGGTCTATCGTGATTATCATTGAGAAACCTTTCTTTTATTTTTCTTTCGTTACAGTTTTATAATTGACTTGTCAAATCCAGTAACTTTTTATCCTCTCTTTCTCCAGTGTTCTTATAGCATTTTGTTCACAATTGTACGTGCATCTATTGCCATCATGGTTTACTTTTGTGTCCTGCCAAATTGTAAGTTCCTGAAGGACAGAGACTATATTCGATTCAGTTTTGCATTTCTCATAGCCCATGAATATGATAGTTTAAGAAAACTGAGTTGACTAATTTGAATCATAAACTGAAGTTCGAATAAGCTTGTGACTGGAAATTAAGTACCATGAAATTCCTTGCAATATATATGTTTTTTTACATTCTTAGCCTTAGAAAAACCACACACACACACACACACACACACACACACACACACACACAC